CTGGGCTGGATTCGAACCCGCCACCTTAGGTGTATGTGGCTGGCACCTTAGCCGCTTGAGCCACAGGCACCGAGCCAAGACCCCATCTCTTAACAAAAAAAAAAAAAGAAAGAAAGAAAGAGAAAAAAAGAAAACGAAAACTTAGCTAGTCATAGTAGCGTATGCCTGTAGTCACAGGTACTCAGGAGACTTAAGCAAGAGAATCACTTTACCCCAGGAGTAGGATGACACCACTGGTGAGCAACAAAGAAAGCCTTGTCTCAACAAAACAAAACAAAAAATATTTTGGACAGGTGCAGTGGATCACACCGATAATCTTAGCACTTTTCAAGGCCAAGACAGGAGAACTGGTCAAAGCCAGTAGTTTGAGACCAGCCTGGGCAAGAGAGTGAAACCCTGTCTGAGAAGACAGAAGAGAGAAAGAGAGACAAGACAAAGAAAAAAAGAAAGGAGAAGGGAAGGGGGAGAAGGGAGGACAGAAGAGGATGAGGAAAAGGAAAGGGAATGGAAAGAAGGGAATGGGAAAGGAACAGGAAAAGGAAAGAAAAAAGAAAACAAAACAGCCAATCCTCAAGTGGAATTTTGAGGGGCTCTGAAACAACTTCTAAAAAGAATAACAAAGTTGGCTTTTTCTACCATCTTGGAGCCTGTGGAGGTATGCTGGGAACAGGACTAAAAGGCAAGAATGTCTGGAAGGCTGTGGTCGAAGGCCATTTTTGCTGGCTATAAGCAGGGTCTCTAGAACCAAAGATAGCATACAGCTCTTCTTAAAATTGAAGGTGTTTATGCCTGAGCTGAAAGTGAATTCTATTTGGACAAGAGATCTACTTACATACACAAAGCAAAAACAACACAATGACTCCTGATGGCAAACTGAACAAAACCAGAGTAATCTGGAGAAAGATAACTTGGGCCCATGTTAACAGTGGCATGTTTCATGTCAAATTCCAAAGCAACTTTCCAGTTAAGGCCACTGGACACAGAATCTGTGTGGTGCTGTACCTGTCAAGGATTTAACTAATAAAAGTAAATGCATAAAAATGTACTTATAAAAAAAATAACAAAGTTGGAGGAATAAAATTTCCTGATCTCAAACTTGCTACAAAGCTACAATAATCAAAACAGTGTGGTATTGAGATAAAGCTAGGCATATAGACAAACAGAATAGAACTGACAGCTCAGAAATAAACTGATACAATATAGCTAATTTATGTGACAAAGACACTAAGACCATTCACTGGTGAAAGAATAATAATCTCTTTTTTTTTGAGACAGAACCTCAAGGTATTGTCCTGGGTAGAGTGCCATGGCATCACAGCTCACAGCAACCCCCAAACTCCTGGGCTTAAGTGATTCTCTAGCCTCAGCCTTCTAAGTAGCTGGAACTATAGGCGCCACCACAATGCCCAGCTATATTTTGGTTGTGGTTGTCATTGTCATTTGGCAGGCCCAGGAGGGATTCAAACCCGCCAGCTCTGGTGTATATGGCTGGCACCTTAGCCATTAGAGCTACAGGCACTGAGCCAGAATAATAATCTTTTTTTTTTTTTTTTTT